GTAGATGAATATAAAAGTGTTTTATTTCTTAATTTCATAAAGATATGCATTGTTCAAACAAAAATAATAACTATATTGTGACGTAACATACGCAAAGTAAAATACATGACGATACCACGAAGGCCGGGGAGTAGAAATACTGTCGTAAACTTGTCATTGCATTAGCAGCAACATTAGCTGATGGTGGCCTTGGAAAGGCGAAGATGTACATTGTAAATGTGAGAGCAACCAAGAAAATTTTAAGAGAAGTGATATAACTAATAAGTGAAATGTAGAGACAAAAATAAAATTATTTTTATTTTTTTATTGAAAAAAATCTTTTTTTTTGTGGTGACACTAGTTAATGAAATCCAGCAAGTATCAGGTGTACAATTCAACAGTATCCCTGCTTTTTATTTGTTTACATCTCATGAAGACTTTGTAGAAGGAGTAAACGATGTGCTTACAGGCGAGGTCATTCAGGCTGGCAGAGACCCAGCTGTCTCCCAGCTTTACGGAGTTGCACATGACAGATCCAGACTGTGGGTTCGAAGTGTGCGACAGGGTGTTCTCACGTGCACACGCACAGGGACGTGATCAGCACCGCCCAGCAGAGTGGACGTCCATACCCTACGCAGTGTGGAAGCTCATCTTTCTATTTTTTGAGGGGTGGGGTGGCTGGTGAGGACACTTAAGGTCCGCTCCTGACCAGAGGTCTGCTGTGCGCCGCATCGCGGTTGGCCCCAGTCGCCATGCTGTGCGGTCGGTCCCCGGGCCTCATGCACCTTCTGAGGAGGGAGGTGTCTGCTTTGCCTAACATCTTCCCGTTTCTCTCACCCACCCACCCCGCCCTGGCGACCACCACTCCACTCTCCATTTCTGAGTTCAACTCTTGTAGGTTTTTAGATGTAAGTGGTATCGTGTGGTGTTTTCCTGTCTGTGTCTGGCTTATTTCACGTAGCACAGTGCCCTCCAGGTTCATCCACACTGTTGCAAATGACAGCATCTGCTTTTTTAAGGCTCAGTCATATTCTATCACACAGGCGTATCACATCTTCTTCATCCCTTTGCCATTGACAGGCACACAGGTTGTTTACATATTTCGGCCTTTGTGAATAATGCTGCAGTGAGCAGGGGAGTGTAGATAGTTCTTCAAGATAGTGATTTATTTCCTTTGGATATATTCCCGGAAGTGGGATTGTTAGATTACATGGATCCTAGTTCTATTTTTCGTGTTTTGAGGAGCTTCTGTGCTGGTTCCCATGATGGCTGAACCAATTTCCGGTCCCCCCAGTGTGCACAGTGCACCCTTACCAACTCTGCCCTGCTGTCTCCTCGAGCGTGCCCACCCTAACCAGCGTGAGGGGGGGCCTCGTTGCAGCCTGATTGGCATCTCCCTGGTGTCCGTGGTGCTGACCGCCTTTCCTGTTCCTGTCAGCCACTTGTATCTTCTTTGGGAAAGTCTCTCTTTCGATCCTTTGCCTGTTGTTTAATTGGGCACTTGTTATTTTGCTATCGAGTTGTAAGAGTTCCATATGTATGATATTAACTCCTCACCCAGTATATGTTTTGCAAATATCTTCTTTCGTTCTGTATTTTTTCCCATTGCCTTTCATTCTGTTGATGGTTTCCTCTGCTGTGCAGAGGCTTTTCAGTTTGATGTGGTCCCACGTGTTTATTTTTGCTCTCGTTGCCTGTGCTTTCAGTGCCAAATCCAAAGGATCATCGCCAGGGCGCATGTTAAGGAGCTTGTCCCCTGTCTGTCTTCTTCTGAGAGTTTCATGGTTCCAACCTTTAATCTGTTTTGAGTTGCCCGTTGTGCATGGTGTGAGGTAGGGGCCCAGTTGCACCCTCCTGTGGCTGTCCAGTCTTCCCAGCACCATGTGCAGCAGAGACTCTTTCACCGTCATGCGTACCCTTGGTGCCCTTGTCAAGGGTCGGGTGCCTGTATGTGCATGGGTTTATTTCTAGGCTCTGGATTCTGTTACATCTATCTATGTGTCTGTTTTGATGCCAGTACCATACTGTTTTGATAACTACGTCTTTGTATTATAATTTGAAATTGGGAAGTACGATGCCTCCAGCTTAATTCTTCTCGCTCAAGATTCCTGTAGCTATTTGGGGTATTTTGTGTTTCTTTACAAATTTTAGGATAGTTTTTTCTATTTCTGTCAAAAATGCCATTGGAATTTTGGTAGAGATTGCATTGAATCTGCATTTCGCTTTGGGTAATGTGAACATTTTAACAATATTACTTTTTCCAATCCATGAACATGGGATATCTTTCCACTTATTTGTGTTTTCCTTAGTGTCTGTTATCAGTGTCTTACAGTTTTAGGGTACAAGTCTTTTATCTCCTTGGTTAAATGTAAGCCTAAGTATTTTATTTTTTTCAATGCTATCATAAATGGGATTGGTTTATTTCTTTTTCAATTAAGTTCATTGTTACGTATAGAAATGCAACTTACTTTTGTAATTTAGGTTTTTATTCTGCAACTTTTCTGGATTCATTTATTAGTCCTAACAATTTTCTGATGGAGTTTTGTTTTTTATGTATAAGATTGTGCAAACAGGTAATTTTACTTTTTCCTTTCATGTTTGGCTGCCTTTTATTTCTTTTTCTTGCCCGAATGCCCCAGCTAGGACTTCCAGTACTGTGTCGTGTGGAAATGGTGACAGCGAGCATCCGTGTCTTGTTCCAGATCTTAGAAGAAAGGCTTTTAGTTTTTTACCATTGAGTGTGATAGTAGCTGTGGGCTTATTATATATGGTTTTTCTTATATTGAAGTATATCCCTTTGGTACCTAATTAATTTTTATTATGAAATGATGTCAAATTTTGTGAAATGTTTTTTCTGCATCTGCTAAGTTGATGGTATGATATTTAGCCTTCATTCTATCAATGTGGTGAATCACACTGATTGATTTGCAAATGTTGAACCATCCCTGGAATAGATCTCACTGGGTCATGGTGTGTGATCCCTTTAATGTACTGCTGAATTTGGTTTGCTCATTTCTGTTGAGAATTTTGGCATCTGTGTTCATCGGGGACATTGGCCTGTGATTTTCTTTTCTTTGTGGCATCCCTGTTTGTCTTTGGCCTTGTAAAATGGGTTCGAAAGTGTTCCTTCCTCTTCAATGTTTGGAGTAATTGAGAATGATTGTTATTAGTTTTCCTTTAAATGTTTGGTAAAATTCACTCTGAAGCCTTCTGGTTCTGGGCCTTTCTTTTTGGGGAGGTTCTTTATTGCTGATTTAGGCTCCTCCTCACTCCTTATTGGTCTGTTCAGATTTCCCATTTTTCTCCTGGTTTTTTCTTGGGAGGTTGTATGTTTCTAGGAGTTCATCCATTTCTTCCAGGTTGTCCAGCTTGTTGGCGTGTGGTTGTTCACACGGTCTCTTGTGCATCCCTGTGTTTCTGTGGTATAGGTGTAAGGTCTCTCTCGTTTCTGATTTTATTTATTCGAGTGTTCTCTCTCTTTTCCTTAGTCTAGCTAAAGGTTTGTCAGTTTCAGCTTTTCAAAAGCCCAGCTCTTAGTTCCTTTGACCTTTCTGTCCTCGACCACGGGTGGTTGTCTGAATCAGTTCCCCGTGGGGCGTGACAGCTGGCACTGCTCTGCCACCTTACTGACGTCCCTCAGCCAGTCCTCCATTCCAGGCCGCACGCTGCAACACGCAGGCTTTGGGATGGTCTCTGGTGGTCTGGCTTCAAATTAAAGTCCTCCAGTGGTGGTTCTCAGACTCTGTGCGCACTCCAGTCTCCCGCAGGGCCTGTGCGAGCGCACGTCTGCCAGGTCCCCCTCCCCGGGGGTTCTGACTCGGCGGGTGGGGGCGCGGGTCTGAAACGTCGACTGGTCACAAGTTCCCAGACAATGCTGCAGCTGTGGACCCGGCAGGCTGGATGCCTCCATCCTGACAGGCTGCACTGGAGCCACGGTCCCCGTCAGCCCCAGGCATGAGCTGCCTGCTTGTTGGTGTGTCAGTGTGTCCTGCAGCTCATCTTCTGGCTGCCGTCCACGTGTGTGTGTGGGCGGGGGTGGATCCTTGCTGCTCCTTGGGAATCACTGCCAGACAGAAACCAGTAGTGGGTCTGGGTGCTGCCATTTGGAAGGGCCCAGTGGTGTCTGGCTGGCGTGCTGTCCTCCTTGTTCCTTACACTTTGTCACATGTGTGAAGCAGAACAGCAGGAGGCCTGAGGCTTCCATCTCGTTCTCTCCATGTGACCTGTGACCTCGGGACCTTCCCTGGGCTCCAGCCTCCCCACCGTAAGGTATAAGGGGACCGTGTTCAGTGCTCTGGGGTGCTCTCCAGCCCAGCCATCTAGGAGCTTTGCGCCTCCCCTGTCCCGGCCCAACCTGTGGGAGCCCGGCTCCTGCGCACTGGCCTGCGGTGGACCTGCCACAGAGCTTCTCGCCTCCGGTTAAAAATAGCACCGTGGTCTCAGAGCAGCCCCCACCTGAGTGATGCTGAGGAGCAAGAGGAGGTCCCACGCATGGCCTGAGGCAGCCACACACACCATGCCTATGGTTTGGAGCCTGGATAGGGGTGCGTGAGCCACTGGGGCCTGAGCCCAGTGGACCCCCATTTCGGGGTGCTGCCTGTAGCGTGGTGGCCGCCGTGGAGACATGACACGAAGCTGACTTGCCTGGGCAGAGCACGGCAGCCCCCGATCTCCACCCGGTCTGGGGGACAGCGAGGGCCCTGTGACGGCAGGAGCTGAGCCTGGTGACATGGGTGGGCAGAACCTTCCCTGTACCTCATGGGTGGTGGGTGGACCACCTCTCTGCCTGGGGGCCAGTGCCCATACAGGGTGGGCAGGGGCTAGGCCTCAGGGATTTTCCTGGGTGCTGGCCCTAATCGCTTCCTCTAGAACGAGGCGCATTGAACCAGCCCCCATTAGCGTCCCTAACCCCCTCCAAGTTGCCTTCCAGCAGCAAGTGTGGGGAGAGACTTGGCGAGAGCATCATGCTTCCCATCTGCCCCTCAGCCCCCTTCTCTAAAGAATGGGGATTTGGGGTTTCCCTCAGCTGCCAGCTCCTGCTTTTCAGCCCCCCTCCCTCCCACAGTCCCCAGAGGCGATGGGGGGGCGGGGGCAAACAGCAAGCCCACTAACCCCACTTTTTGTCTTGTCTTGAAGGCTCAGCTGTCGCAGGCGCTGGAGGAGCTGGGAGTCCAGAAGCAGAGAGCAGACATGGTGAGTCCCTGAGACACCTGCCAGTGTCTCTGTGGCCAGAGGGGATCCGGGCCTGGGCGCCTCAGGTCCAGGCAGAAGCCCCGTCCCCATCGTGACTTCGCCTGCAGGCGCAGCGCGTGTGCCCTGACAGCCGTGGTCCTTGTCATCAGAAGCTGGAAACAGCATGGGGTTTGGGGCCGAGTCCTGGCTCCCCAGGCAGATTTGCTGCCTTGCTGCGAGGTGGGGACAGCAACATGCTGACCGCCCAAAGTCATGACCTGCCCCACATGGGCCGGTGTCGCTCTCAGGTCGTCACCCATCCTGAGCCGGGGTGCGTCCAGCCCGCGTGTCTCTGCACTCGTGCAGGTCCCCTCTCGGGCCCGCTCCTCAGGCCTGCGGTGCGGGCTGGGGCGCTGCAGCGTGCAGAGCGCCTGACCACCATGTGGGGGACAGACGGCCGCTTTTGGAGCACCTTTGTCCTGTGCAGACTGTGCAGCCTGCGGTCTCTGAGGGCAGAAAGGCCGTAGAGAATGAAGTGCCCTCAGGCTGCTCTGCCACAGGCCATGTGCCGGCCAGTCGAGGGTACCAGGCGAGGCTGAGACGCTGGGACGGGCTTCGGGATCTGCACCCTGGGCCAGAGCTCGCGTTTCAGTGTCACCGCGTGTCGATCCCCTGACCCTGAGCCGGTCGTCGGGCCTTTGCCTGCAAAGTAGGCACGACCTCCAGGTTGAAGTGACATGTCCTTGAATTTGCTTTCTCCACTGTCAGCCGTCCTCAGCCTGTGGTTGTGTCCTTGCTGCCACCCCTGCTGTGGGCCCTTACTGGAGGGCGGGGCTGGATAGACCTGAAATCAGCCCTCTCATAAGGTGGGGACATGGAGGGGCGGGAACAGAGCCCCGGCTGAGGCCCAGGCACCATCCCCTGGGAGCCCAGGTTCGATTCAGAGCCCCTGTGGGTGGGGGGCAGGGGCCCGCTGGGACCTGGAGACAGATGCAGATCGTGTAGCGAGAATTGCAGCGAGGGGTCGGGGTGGCGTCAGGGTCACGGGCGGGATGAGGAGGTCGGGAATGCAGGTTTGGACGGGGAGCTGGGTGTCTGAGTCAGGCAGATACTGGCGTGGGGTCTGGAGCCCCAGAGTCAAGGCCAGCGGAGCATCGGGTGCCCCTGGTCCTCGGAGTCAAGCAGGTGCCAGGGAGGCAGTGCTGAGGCTGGAGCTCCGTCAGCTGCGCCAGCACCCCGACGTGGGCCAGGAATCCCGGACCCCAGGGAGGCCAGTGCTGCCCACAGGGACCACGAGTCACGCACGGTGACGGGAGCTGTGAGAGGAGCCGAGCGTGGCCCGTGGGCCGGTGACAGGGTCTCGTGGGGGGGCAGGCAGCGGGGCACCATTTACTCCTCCTGGCGACTCCGACGTCGGCCTGGTGGGCCCTGCGCCCTGAGCGGCCCGGCACGGCGGCCGCGGTGCTCCGCGCACAGCTGTGGGAACCGTGCCTTGTCCCCATGGCGCTGACCCTGCGCAGGTGGCAGGAGCACAGGGCCGGGCTCCTCCCTGCTCGATCCTCAGCCGTGTCCTAAGCACTTTGGGCGCAGCACACACAGGTGGGACGCCGGGGGTGCGCTGCACCGCGTCTTCCAGGCTCGCCTTGGATGCGGGCTGGAGCTGTCCCCGCCTTTGATCGCTGCCTTTGATGGTCTGATGTCCATCCCCTGTCACGTCGTTCATTTCGGGTCTCTCCTCCCTCCCAGTTACGGTGAAAACAAGAAGTGGCAATGCACGTGGGGAGCCTGTGACTTTCTGTTCTCTCTCCAAGCCTGTTGGGGGTGTCTTCTGAGCGCTGCCCTTCTCGCCCCCCAGGGAGATGAAGGCCAGGCCGGGCAGTCCTGGGTGGGGGCCTGGAGCCTGAGACGTCTGGATTCAGCTCCTCAGAGACGGTTCCCAGCGAAACATGGCCGGTTCGGGGCAAGCCCTGCTCTGCTGCTAGCCCCTGAGTTGGAGGGGGGCGTTGGAGGGGACAGCGTCCCGGCTCGCTGTGAGTCTGGGGCAGCCGGCCTCAGCCCCATTCTGGTGACGGTGGCTGCCGACTGCGCCCTCTGCGCCTCCATGTGCGGGCTGGCCAGGCCCGTGCCGCCTCCCCTGACCCACAGCGCCCCGACCTGCCGATTTGTGGCCCAGCTTCAGTTCAGTGCTTAAGGAAGGAAAGGGAAAGGAAGGAGAGCTTGAATGTCTTCAGCTAATTACAGATGGCGAGACCTGGACAGGTCGACTTGCTGTTGTTAATTAGTAAAGCCATGCTAATTAGTAAGCATGAGCACAATTCATGCCTTTTCCTTTAATGCAACTCATATCACAAGGAGACACGTCCAGGCTATAGATGTGTCACTGACATACGTCCCCTAATTAGACACGGCCAGCGGCAGCTGGAGAAGCGAGCATTTTCCTGTAACTACAGGAAGTCCTCAGGGTGCGAGCACAGGCTTGTTTCCTGACTAAGCGACTCACGTGCCCCCGAACCTGTAATTAAGCCGGTTGTCCTCCTCCTCGGTCCCATTTTCCCTTAGTCGTTCACTGGTGTCCCCTCCTGGCCCCCCAGGAAGCCTCGCAGGGGGTCAGCCTGCGAAGGGTGAAGGGCAGTGGCCGACCAGGGAGGGGTGGACGGGCAGGGCGCGCAGACCGCGTCCTGTCGCCCTTCGTTCTCTGTCCCAGCTCTGACCGGGCGATGTGACGGTGGCTGTCGTGTCGAGGCCTGTCCCGTCGTCCTGTCATCCTGTCACGGGGAGGCCGGCCCTCTCGAGGCCTGTCTCGCCCGAGGGCATGTGCCCTCCTGGGCCTGCCGTCCCCTTGGCCTCCCGCTGCCTCCGCTGCCACCCTAAAGCAGCAGCAGTGCCTGCTCTGGCTGCGAGAGGCAGACACAGACCCCGGGAGACGCTGTGCACCCCCGGGGGCCTCGCTTCCGCCATGGTGAGTGGCGGTGTGGGGGCCAGGAGCTCCTCGAAGGAGGAGCTAGCGTCGTGGTCTGAGTGTGCCGGCCACCTGCCATCTGGCCATGGCCACTGCCTTCCCGTAAGCTACTGAGGGAGCCTCCTGGTTCTGTGACCGATGGCAGCTCGTGTCGCCTGGACCCATCCTGCCCTGGGGCCGGGTGCCAGGCCAGAAGAGCCCCCGCCATGACTGGAGAGCTTCGTCCTCGGAGGGCACGTCGGTCAAGGCTCAGGGGAGGAGGCGACACGGGGACCGAGACGAGTGGGTTGCCCGGAGGCTGAGAATGTGGTTTTCTAGTCTAGAAAATAAGTTTCCAGTGGTGAAATATCCGGCCCTCGATGTCAGCAGATACTTGGATCCGCCTCCGTGAAGGGGGAGAGACTGGAGAGACACTCACGTGTGCCTGGGCCGGCGTCACACCGCTCAGGACAGTGGTGAAATATCCGGCCCTCGATGTCAGCAGATATTTGGACCCGCCTCCGTGAAGGGGGAGAGACTGGAGAGACTCCCGTGTGCCTGGGCCGGCGTCACACCGCTCAGGATACGGCGTGTGGCACCCGACACGGCGTGACCTTTTCCTTCCGGCGTTTTTGCAGATGTCCTCGCGTTGTTCTCTGCCGAGTGAACTTGGAGTCGGCGTGTCGGGGCTGGTGTCGCGATCCCGTTGGCCCTGCCTCGCTTCCGGGGGCCGCTGCGGAAGGGGCGCAGCGTGTTGGTTTTTCCCGGCCGCAGCTGCGTGCGTCTGCCTGCTCGGGCCTCCTCTGTCGTCTTTCACGCACGGTGGCCACTGTCCCCTAGTGAGACTTGCCCGTGTCTTGTTAGGTTTATTGTAGGTGTTTTATCGTGTGTTAGTTTTTCTTCTGGCTGCTGGCTCTGCGTTTACCATGGGGCCCGGGGAAGGCGGTGGGAGGAGGTGGCACTTCAGACTTCGAAAGTGACCCCTCCAGTGGCCTCACTACCCAAGCTGGTGTGGAGCGAGAGTGGATCTAACAACCCCAAAACACGAGCTGGTTGATTTATCTTTAGAAATTATGAGCATAATCCCAGATGGGAAACCCAGCCCTGCAGCCTTCTGGCCTCTCCCAGCCCCGAGTGCTGACCTCACGTCACCCATGTGTCCCGTGTCCCGGCCGTGGCCCTGTGTGGCACAGCTCCCGCTCAGCCTCCAGCTCTCCCCGTGCACCCAGGTGACCCTACTGCTTCATGGTCAGATCGCAGCGTCTTCCCCGGCCCCACCGGTGTCCCCCTCCGTGTGTGCTCCTGCGTGTGTTCGTGCGGGCTGGCTCAGACGCGGTCCTGCCTTGTCGCTCAGCCCATTGCAGGGGCTCGCAGCACCCCGGAGTCCTTGGCAGCTGCTCTGCCACCTCTTCCGTGGCACGGCCCGGGCCCACTGCCGCCCTCGGGTGGGAGCTCGGCGGTCCCCACGTGTCCCTTCCTGGACCGTTCCTGTGGCGGGAAGCCCGGAACCGGTGTTGCTCTGTGACCCACTGAGGAGCCCACTGCAGAGGAGCCTCAGGGACAGCCCTTCTGCAGTGAAGCCTTTCAGGTTGTCACCACCTGGCACCACAGGGACATCAGGGAACCGGCGAGCCGCCAACAGCCTCTGCTCTGTATTCTCCTCCGGGACTTCATGTGGCTTGTGACCCCCGGGCGAACAGCTCCCAGTCAGGCTGGTCAAGCCTCCAGGCTCCATTGGCAGCATGGCGCACACACCGCTCTCGGCACCCCACTTCCCCACCCCCCGCCGCCTCAGAGCCAAGGCCCAGTTTGCTGCCGCATCCCTGTCACCGGCGGTCGGGCTGCTCTGGAGCCTCGCCAGCCCTAATGAGAACAACCCAGAGCTCTCCAGGAGCCTGTTCCCTGGGGGAGCACGCCGGGGATTTCGTTGGGGGCCCCTCCTTGGCCGACGGCTCACTGAGGGAAGGATAAGCGGGCCTTCTAGGATGAAGCGCGACCCGGATGCCCTCTCGGCTGCGCTGCTTTCTCTGAGGCGTCGGTAGGGCACCGGCTGTGCTCAGTGGGAGCTTCCTGGTGAGCCGTC